ATCTGCCCGAGTGTGACCGAAACTGGCGCCCGAAATTGTCCGACCGCGCCCAAGTGTGACAGAAATGTTTGGTTCGAAGCTGACTACGTTTTCCGTCACAACCCGAGACCGCCAAAGCCTAAAAAGGTCTTCAATTCAGCATCTCGACTGTATCACCCATTTCCGTCCTTCCCGGCTCTGCTTCAGGACCCCTCCTGATTTTCTTATTATGAGTATCATGATTATTCTAAATGTTGGTAATATTATTGTTATCATGTGTCATGTTCTACTTAATATGATTCGGATTCAAATTATTAGTCCTCTTATTATCTTATTATTACTAATTATTAGTATTATTATTATTAATAATATTATTATTAGTATTATTACTATTATTATTACTATTATTATTATTGTTATTATTATTATTTGCGGCGAGAGCTCGAGAGCCGCGCGGGGGCTCCCCCACGCTTCGCCCCAGAGCGCGCCCAGGCCAACTGATTGAAACCGGCCAGCAAAAACACTGGCCCTTCGCCCGTGACGCGCTCGGGGCTCGCGCGAGGCAGAAGGAGGGTGGGGGGGGCGGCCGGACCGAGGCGACGGAGGAGGGGGTGGGAGGGGGGCGGGGGGGAGGGCGGAGCGGTGGGCGTAGAGGAGGAGGGGGGAGGGAGGGAGGGAGGGAGGGAGGGGAGGGGCCAGGCAGAGGGAAGAGGCGAGGCGAGGAGAGCAGAGGCGAGGAGAGGAGAGAACAGGAGAAGACAGGACAGGAGAGGACAGGAGAGGAGAGAAGTGCAGGAGGGAAGCTGGCCAGCAAAAAAGCGCTGGCCCTCCGACCGAGACGCGCTCACGGGGCCGCCGAGCGCCCCCGCAGCGCGCGCACTCTGGAGGCCTGGGCACGGCGCCGAGCGCCGGGCCTCTATACAAGCCTCGTCTGGACAGCGTCGACGTCGTCGCTGCAGCCGCAGCCCCGCCGCCGCTGTAGCGGTGGTCGTCGCCGTGGTCGTGGTCGTGGTCGTGGTCGTCGTCGTCTTCGTCGTCGTCGTCGTCGTCGCGGCGGTGGCCGCCGTGGTGACGGCGGTCGTCGTCGTCGTCGTCATCGTGGCGGTGCCGTCGTCATAGCCGCGGCCGTGGCCGTCGCAACGCAACTGTCGCGATTGTCGCCGCAATAGTCGTCGTCGTGGTCGCGGTCGTCGGCGTCGTCGCCGTCGCCGCCGCAGTCCCGACGTGCCGCTCGCAGCGGTCCCCGAGCCTCCAGAGGCCAGACTCGGGCCCCGCGGGGACCGTCAGAGCACGACGTGGGGCGAAGAGCCAGCCCTAGGGGAAGGGGCCGAGAAGCCTGCAGGGCCGAGATAACTAAGGCCTGGGCGTCTCAGGCCACGGGTGACAGGTCCTGGGCCTCCTGGGGGAGGTCCCACATCCGTCCTCCTCGAACTAGGATCTCCCTCTCGTTGCAGAACTGGGCGTGTCGTCCAGGCGCGCCGAGCGTTTCGACTGAGACTTCCTCACAGGCTTATGGTCCAGAAGCTTAAACGTTGTCCAAGAATTACACGGTTGGAGTACGAGTCGAATGTGACTTTCGCTTTAGCGTCGCGCGCACTCGTCTCCAAAGCATCCACCGGTTACAAAGACAGAGGGCAGATCGTTGTCAAAATGTTACTCTCGCCCTAGCACCGCACACATTCGTAGTTGAATTTCCAACAGCTGCGAGGATGTAGGGCGGGTCGTATTCGAAATGTGCCTCTCGCCTTTGCGCCGCGCACCGTGTCCTTTCATATTCCAACAGCTCCCTTTAGTGTCACGCACATCCATCTTTAGTCTCCAACATCTACAAGGATGGAGGGAGGTTCGATTAAAAAACGAGGATCTCGCGCAAGACTTGCTGATGACTCCTGACTGCAAGTGAGCACGAATAAGGCGGCTCCTTTTCAAAACGAGATTATCTCTTGGGATTTCCTGTTCAACAAATTGTGGTCAAACTGCGCACCTATGAATCGACGACAACTCACGGATATGGAGGGCGGGTCCTTTTCACAACGAGGCCACCGTGGGACGCTTCCTTGAATCTCAAGATCCTACATAACATATCCGTATTCCGTAAAGGCTCTCGCCTGAGTAAAAAGGCCCATGGGGCACTCGTCTTTCAAGGGGACACTTCACGTAGTGTCAAAGGAATGCCTGGAGGGACTGATTATGACAAGGGGACTTGGGATGGGAGGGCCAACTTCGGAATCGTCGATGCATTCTGGATTTACTCTGGTCATCCTCCTCATCTTCATAAGGCATCTGGGTGATGAACGCTTGCGGACGTCTGGTGCGCTGGGAGTCCCGTGCTCCCACGTCCCCATTCATGCCTCCAGACGGAGGCGTCCACTCGAACACACACACACACACACACACACACACACACACACACACACTACACACACACATAGCAATGGCGTGCAGTTCCTCAGCGTGGGCTGCTGGCTCCCAGTTCTTCTCCGAGGGATGGACGTCGGCTCTGCTCTCCTCTGGCACTTCATCGCGGATGTCGTGGACAGGGTAGCGCGGATTGAGGAGATGGCGTGGGATCAGCATCTTCTTGCAGCCATTGCACCATCATGTTCGCGCTTGTCGTCCCAAGCACTGTCGCGTGGAAGTCGTAACGGGCTTAGCGCCGTACATTCGTCTCAAGAGTTTGCAGCAGTTTCAAGGACTATCATGGCTAAAGTACCAAAAAAAAAACATGTTGGCAAGATGTCGGAACGTCAGGGCGCAACAGTCACGTTGATTCGCGGTGCTGAAATCCCAGAAATGGTGTTCTGGCATGATTCAAGATCGTCAAACCACAATAGTAACCGTGATTCGCGGCGCTGAAGCCCCAGAAATGGCGCGTTCTGGCACAACTCCGGATTCTCAAACGGTGGTCTTCCAACGGGGCATCCTCCCAGTGAAAATGAATACGCGTAGGGACCTATGAAGAGGGAACTTGGAGGGAGGGTTTATTGCAACATCATTGCTGCGGCTTGGGTTTACACTGGTCCTCATCTCACTCCTCCTCCTCCTCCTCCGCCTCCTCCTCCTCCTACTCCTCCCCCTCCTCCCCATCATCATCAGCCATCAGCATCAGCATCATCATCATCATCATCATCATCATCATCATCATCATCATCATCATCATCATCATCATCATCATCATTATCATTATCATCATCATCATCATCATCATCATCATCATCATCATCATCATCATCATCATCATCATCAGCCATCATCATCATCATCATCATCATCATCATCATCATCATCATCATCATCATCAGCCATCAGCCATCAGCCATCAGCCATCAGCCATCTGCCATCAGCCATCAGCCATCAGCCATCATCATGATCATCATCATCATCATCATCATCAGCATCATCATCATCACCATCATCACCATCATCATCAGCATCATCATAATCATCATCATCATCATCATCATCATCATCATCATCATCATCATCAGCATGATCATCATCCTCGTCCTCATCCTCATCATTAGTATTATTATCAGCGTCGTTATTAGCATCATCATCATCATCATCATCATCATCATCATCATCATCACCATCACCATCACCATCACCATCACCATCACCATCATCATCACCATCACCATCATCATCACCATCATCATCATCATCGTCATCGTCATCGTCATCGTCATCGTCATCGTCATCGTCATCGTCATCATCATCCTTCTCCACTTCCGCCATTTCCCCTCCCACCTCCTGCTACTACTCCTCCTCCGGCCCTCCTCCTCTTCCTCCTTCTCCTCCTCCTCCGCCTCCTAATCGAGGCAGGGCACAC